CTACTTAAATAGGTAACCAAAAGTTACATATGTGGCTAGTTGCACACTTACCTTGTACAAGTTATATGTAATGCATTGACCAAAAACACAATAAAAGTGATAGCTACCGATAATATCAGCTTTAACAAAAAAAAAAAAAAAAAAAAAAGATGTAGTTAGCAATTTGCATAATGAATATCATATAAGATTAGCAAAAGCATTGCAAAAAAAAAATTGTATCGTAATGATGTCGTAATTAAGGCATTCGATTTGATCAGTTATATAGTAGTTAATAGCATTTGTTAAGTTATTTGCACTGTGTTGCAAATAATTAAAAAGGCAGCTAGAAAGTAATGTGCAGTATTAATCAACAATAATACTGATAGTAAAAAGAACAATTGTGGCTCTGAGGCTAGTAGCACAAAGACTACTGGATCGATATTCAGCTACCTAGCAAAAAAGTATTGATATTCTTCTATCGCTATTTATGAAAACTAACTCTGTTTTCTTTGACAGTTATAACTGTGATACTGTATCTAGCAAGAAACTAAATATATATTATAGTTTATGCATGAATACAAATATTATATGCTAGCACTCTATGTATAGTACCTTGTGCATTAGTATGCTATATATGTACCAGCGAGACCTATTTCCATATGTGTTTTCTGTGCAATAATTTAATAAAGCTTTGATTGAGCAATAATAAATATTTTTACTTAAATCAGATAATTATTTGTAAGTATATATGAAACTTTTTGAATCAACTAATTGTTTAACATACTATTAATAATATCATTGTCTTAAAAAATTTATATAATTCAGTTTTATTTGTCTTATTTTACTTAAAAATCCCTATATAGTTAACTACAGTTACTAATGTTTTAAGATTTGCATATAAATATTTTATACTTATCTATTTTAACCCAAATTCTGTTAGAATTATTCATTTCTGCAGAAATTTTGATAATGAATGAATACTTTATTCTTAACATTTTAATTTCTATCTCATATTCATAACAATTACCAAGCCAGAATATTCCATTATTATTTTTATCTATTTGAAATATTATGCCAAGTCAAATAATATAAGTTATAATTGAAATATTATTGATCTGTTCAGAGTGAATTTAGTGTTTATATTTAATTCTAGTCTCAAATACATATAAGATAAATCTATTGCATTAATAAATTCATATAGAGTAGGTGTTTAAAACTAGTTTTATTAAAAAGAGTTACTAATTTCCATTTAGTGCTTAATGCAACAGTGGGATGATCATTAAAATCTGATTCTTCATTTATAGCATCTTCATTTAATTTGCTTATGACATTTTTACTTAATTCATTTATGATATCTTCATTTAATTCACTTATAGTTTCCTCTTCTTCTTCTAAAAGAGAATTTCATTTATTCATAACTTTTTTCTATTCATTTGTTAAACTAATATCTTCTTGCTTTTTAATAAACTCAACCTTATCTTCTGATGCTATACTCCTATTTGACTCTGTATTCTTATTTTTTGATTTAGTATTCTTACTTAAAGATTTATAATTATCATTTGACAGTATTGCAGATATTGCAATTTGTGTTTGAAAAAAGTTTTTTTAGTTTCATAAATTTCCTTTAATCACTATGAATAAATTAACTCACTATGTATTTGACACATTGCAACTACCTTTTTATGCTATAAAGTTAAATTGATACTAATTAGTACTGTATTATAAATAGCTAATACAAACATCATTTCATAACCAGTATTGATTAAAATTTACTGTGTGAATATCGCACAATTTAGAACTTTTTTTTGCATAGCAAATAAAAAAAAAAACTATGATCAATAGTTTGGAACTATGTGCACTATTCACAAAATATTAATTTTTTCTGTGTGGCATCTGTCATCTATTCAAAAAGAATGTATGCAAAATTTTGTTTTTGCATACTGCATACTACACAGTAAAAAATAATTACTGACTCATAATGATCTTAAATGCAATGATATTAGAGAAAAAAATAATAGTAATAAAAAATAAATAAAATATAAATAAAATAAAACAACTAGATTTATTTACCTTTAATTTATTTCTTTGTTTATTATATAACCAACCCATAGTAGAAAATAACTGCTCAATAGATGCTAAACTAATGCATATTGAAAAGATACGTTATGCAACAAGATGTAATTCTTCAGTATATCTACTAACAAATTTCTAATAAGAAAGAATATCATTTTTTTTTGAATTAACTATAATCTTCATCATGAAATGAATATTGTTTTTCTCGATATTGTTGTAACTTATTTAAAAGAACTTCAGATTCATCTTTAAACCAAGCCTTATAATAATATAATAACTATTCGCCAAGATGGTAAAAAGTTAAGTTACATATCTGTTTATTGAACATAACATCATGATATTCAGGATGGAGTAAAAAGCTTAATAGCAATAATGGTTGCTTCTATGTTTGCTATCGATATTCTATATGTATTAAAAGATTAGTATATAGATCAGAATCAGAAAGGTTTTCAATTACTTGCACGATCCATCCAAAGCTATGTAAAACATTATGAAGTTTAGCCTGATCACATTGTAGTTTATTTAATATTGAACAATAAGGAAGAAGGATTGCTTCAAGTTGTTATAAATCAGACCACCAATTGTTATCAAGAATATTTGTAAGTATATCTTCAGGAAAACTGGAAAGACTATTATTCAAACCTTCATCTATTTTGTTTGCAAGATTCTAAGAGACAAATATCACATTAATCCTATAAAAAAAGTAATGCAAAATTTAATAGAATTTTACAGAATTTATATAAAACTTTTAGTATAATTTATATTAAATAAGAATTCGATACAAATTCTATGCTTTGTATATAGAATATGCTCAGAAATTATGCTTTTAATTAATTCTATTTTTTTGAACATATTCTGTATATAAAATGAATGTGTAAGAGTGAAAACTTGTAACCAATCGTAGTAAATTATTAAATAAATTTCAGTTACTCTCACACACTTAAATATAGACTTTGTAATAGATTTCATATATAATGCGAAAATTATACTTATTTATTGTGCTTTTCAAATTACTGTAATTAACCAGTTCTATGTATCACATCAGGAATCAGAAATCTAAAATAAATGCAAATACATAATTTGCTAAAACTTATTTCCAACCAATCTCAAAATTTTCTAATATGATACTTGAAATTTGCTAACCACAGTAATTTGCAATAAATTCTGTAAAAATCTATTAAACTTTACATTACTTTTTTTATAGAGTAATAATTTAAATATAAAATTAGATTCAAAATTTTTAAAAAATCTGCTCATAGAACATATTTATAATTACTATACTAATATGTAGACTTATTTGTCTTATTACTAAAAAAAGACTTACTTTAAGGGTCGTACGTGTCTTTATAAGGCTTGAAAACAATAATAATAACTGTTTATCATGCTGTATTTGGCAAAATAAGAGATATATACTTATTACTATATACTGAAGTCAGTTCATCATGAAGTTGCCCCAAAAAATATGTAGATCGATTAAAAAATACTACAATTCTAATTGCTTCTTCTGCAACAGTCTTAAGAATTGATGAATATCAAAATATATTTCTAACAACAAGATTTGCTTGGTGAGCAAAACATGAGATAAAAACTTTATCAAGATGAGAGGTACGGAGACATGACCGAGCTGCCATAAATTCAGAAGCTGAGTCTGTTACAAGACAATTAACCTTAATATTATCCTCTTTAAGCTTTATGAAAAGATTGTTGGTTATTTTTACAATCTCAGGCCATCTTGTTCACTTTCCTAAAATATCTTCTGCACCCAAATTAATGTTTTACCTTTGGAATTAATTAATGTGATCCCTAATAAGCTCTCTTTTTTAATATTTTTCCAACCATCATACATTAAGGTAACACCAAGCTTATCGGTTTGGATATCTTTTTTTTTGTAATTTTATAGAATTTATAGCAGTTTTAGTTAAAATTCGACCTGATAGTGTTTTACGATTCGGTAATTTGATTGCAGGATTCACATAATAAAAAAGTTCTTTAATTTCAGGATTGTTAACCCATGAAAAAGCCCAGCCACACGAAATAGTTGCTTTTAAAAGTAATTGTTCAAGTTTTTCCTTTTGTTTGCTTGATAATGGTTTTTGAAAATAACAACCTAATGTTATATTTGGATTCAATTGGTCTGAATCTAATCAAGTTCATTTATTTGAATTACTATTACTAGAAACTTCTATAATATGTTAAATTAAAATTAGATATTAAATTAAATATATTATATGACAGGGTGAAACCTATGCTGTGAGTTAGTAAAATCTGCTATGTAAATTATATGAGGATAAAAACAACTTTTGTACATGCATATGTATATACATATAATATAAAACATATTTAAATATAGATTTCACCATCTACATAGCAGATTTTACTAATTTATAGCATGAGTTTTACCCTGCTTTATATTATTTATAATGCTAGTAAATATAATACTTTTTAAAACTTTGTTCACTTTCGCTTTCTTGAGAATTATTATCTGTCGATATTGGATTTAAAATTTTATTGCACTCTATTTTGCTAGGATATTCTGTAATAAAGTGTTGGCAAGAGGTAAGATGGCATTTGCATTCTTGCTGGGTATTAGTAATTTGGGTTTCAAAAGCTTCTTCATATATAGAACCTTTAATGCAAAATTTGCAAACTGCAAACTTATTGCATTTATTAGCTTTTTCATTCAAAATAATAAATAAATTAGTTAGCCTGTGTGGTTTTCTGCCTATCGTAAAAATGAAAAGTTGAATACCAAAAAAAAAAAAGATGCTGCTATATAAAAAAGAAATCAAAACAATAAATTGTAGTTATAATCATTGTTGTTTTTTCTTTGAAGTTTGGTATATGCATTGCGCATATACAGATTATTTTACATTAATATTGATTTGATAGAAACATGTATCGATTAACAAACTTACTATGTATAAATTCAATTTTATCATATCAACTACATACAAATAGAAAAGAACTCTAAGCCGTACATGAATCGAAGACAATGAAGTGATTGTAATAGCACCCACTACCTAATTATAATGATCACACTATCCAACCTCTATATGAATCAAAATCGTTAAAATACAGTTGTACTCCTTATAATTATACCATCAGAACCCATAGAACCTTTATAAAGAAATGTTCTTATCATTATACAGAGAATGCATTTATATAAAAAAATTATTTAAAGATAAATTGTATTTTTCATATGATATGCTTATATAAGAGTGTGACTGCGATTATGGTAGCACTCAGAGATGCTGGTGAAATTAATTTCACTAAATTTCACTAATTTAACACCAATTTTACTGATAGTGTTGAAACTACTTCACTATTCTAGTTTAATTTCACTAGCATCCTTAATAACACCTATTGCATACTTATAATGATCACATTATCCAAAATTTGCATAAATTGAAAGTGTTAAAGTAAATACAGTAATGCCCATTGCAATATTGGTTCAAACACGTATAAATCAAAAAGTTTAAAGTAAATATAGTAATGCCACCATCAGATTGGTTTAAACCCTGCATGAAATTAAAGTATTAGAGTAAATACAGTAATATCCACTGTCAGATTGGTTCCAACTCTATATAAATCAAAAGAGTTAAAGTAATTTGGTAATGCCCACTGCCAAACCTATATAAATTGAAAGAATTAATGTTACAGATTTGGTAATACTGATCAATTTTAGACTTGACATATGTATGCATATATGTTTGCATTTCTGACTTATTATAGTATAACATTAAGAAAGCAGAATCTGCTTCTGCATCTCATGTGTAAGGATGTTAAAGTGTCTGTCTGAACTGACCTAACTTCAGAAGTTGAGTCAGCATCAAATTCAGACTTGAGTTTTTAATCATATGAAGTTGCACAAATCAAGATAAATAACAATAAAACTGAATAACGATAAACTATTAATATGCATATTGCTCTTAATTTAGTAAATATCATATATTATCATGCAAACTCTTATGATCATAGATTTTTTTCTTCTTGTTATTTTTTGTATGTTATTACGTAAGCACAACAATCCCAAATTAAAACTCAGTTAGCCAACCATGACTCATAAATCATGATCATAATTGCATGATAACATCGATATTGGATCATGCAATGATAAATATCATAAAATTTGTTCTGTTAGGGCAAATGATTGGCTGAAACGTGCTGCTACGCAACACATATCAGCCAATCATTTGCTCTGACAAAACAAATTTCATGATATTAATTGTTGCATAACCAATATCTTATACATATTTTAGGTAGTTTTAGTAATATTTATTATTCAACATTTTTAGTTTTTAGACCCAGTTTTCTTGCTCACAATGTGTATATATACTAATTTTAGCAATTGACTAGTAAATAAGAAAAATAAATTACTATAATTAATTTCATTTTTTTAGTGCTTATCATTTTAAAGAAATATTTTTTTTTACTAGCTTGCCCTTTTGTCATAAGCTTTTTACTGCCAATTCTGTTATATTTATAAAATCGAAGATGCTAACTCGATCAAAATGTAAAAGCATTAAATAGAGCTTACATATTTCTAATTCAAATAATATTCAAATAACTTTGATTAGCCAAATAGCAAATATTATTTGAATAAGTACTATTTATTCGAATAATATATATGTGAAACAAATATGACTAAAGTTTCACATAGATAAATAATAAAAATTATTTGAATAAAATTTTCTTATTTGAATTATTTATTAGACAATTATTATTCAAATATTTGCCGAATACAAATATTATTTAAATAATGAACACAAATATGAAGCTCTAAACATAAATTAAAAAACTTTATATAACAAAACTGTAATTAATTTAATAATGCCACTATTAAAGTTAACTTCGTGATGCATAATATAAATCATGATCAGAGTTGTGATCTGAATTTAACTTAAAAACTAAAATAATTAAAACCTAGTCTTTAGATAATAAAGATAGTTATTTTCTTATATTGCTAAATTTTATCTAATAAAATTATTGGACAATTGGACATATGTCCAATTTGTATAATTGGACATATGTTTAATTAATTTGATACTTTTATTGAACATTATCCAATGCCTAATAGTTCAAAAAATTATTAAAATTAATTGAACAAATTGGACATTGTTCAATGTTCAAATATTCAAAAATCTAATTGAATTTATTTGAACATTGTTCAATACCAACTTTGTAAATAATATAGTAATATTTCCAAAGCTAGAATACCTTCTACAGCTAACAAAGATGTTAGAAAAAATGTTTAATAAGATTCACTAACTGATAATATGTTTGGCAAAACACAAGTGCAATATAATAAAAACAGTAAACAATTGTATAATTAAGTACAGAGAGCTAGAAAACTATAAATTACTAAGACAAGAGATAGTGACAAAACAAATAAGTAGTTTAGTTATAAAACTTAATAAAAAGATAGTTTAGATAATTTAACAAAGCTCAGAATAGTCTAAAGGTACCAAAAAGCAAACTTGATAAAAAACATTTAAAACTCTAAAAGAAGATCAGAAGAAATGAAGTATTAGAAACACAATTTAGTATGTTAGGCAATAGCCAAAGCAAAAAATTATTTGTAAAAATTTTATGCTTATAGAATAAGAAAAAGAGACCTAATTGAAACCAAAACTTGGATAACAAGTAGTACCACAATAAACAAATTATATTTGAATCAACTGATAGATGTAAAAGGTAAGAATCTAATTACATGAAGACAGCTCAAAAGTTTTCAGAAGCTGTTATATAAAGAAAAAAAAACTAAGTGGTTTAGTGAAATAAAAATAATATTAATAATCCAAACAAATAGAAAATATATGACCAATACAAAATTAGCAATCATAACACTTAAGCATTAATGATCAATTAAATAAAAATATCAAAAAACAAAAAAAAAAAGAATAGATTATACATGGTCCAAAACACAATTAGCAACTTGGTAAAATATTAAAAAAAAAAAAAGATCTTAACAGAACATTGGATAGTATAAGAAATAGAAGGCAAGATATACATTGAAATAAGCAATTGCAAAAATTGTAAAAGTAAATAAGAACAAACAATAGACAGTTGTGAGAGATGAATAAGAGGAAGCAACAATTTAAAAGCAGTCCCAAAAGTGCTAGTAGAAAAAAGCAATAACAAGATTAATATAACAATAGAACAAATATTAAAAAATAGAACAATGAAGAAGTAAAGAAAAAAGAAAAGAAGATTAACTAGATTAAAATAAGTAAAAGAATTGGAAATAGAACTAATCAAAAAACAAGAATTCAATGATGAAATTACAGCTCACCAAATAGAAGCTTTTATAAAAAATATAACAAAAAACAAAAATGAGTATATCTTCTATACAGATAGTGCATTATATAAAAAAGAAAGAGGAAATAGTATAGAAAAAATAAATATCGACTAGATACAAATTAGAAAAAAAAATTGGCCAAAAGAAAAAACAGCATTGAGACTTGAGGATTGACCTTTAGCAATAATGACTGAATTAGCAGTAATATGGTTAGCAATTTTAATAATACTAGAAAAGAAGAAAATAGAAATATATACAAACAGTCTTGCAATACTAAGAAACATTAGTAAAGCAATTCAAGACATAGAAGATATTAAAGTTATAAAAAGAAGAATGTAATATGAATAATAAATATTGCAGAACTAGTCAAAAGCAAAAATATAAAATAGAACTAGTTAAGGTTAAAGTCACAATAATGATAGGTGAAATGACAAAGCAGATTTACTTGCAAAAAAAAAAGCAATATGAAAAAGAACAATATTTATAGAAAAAATTAAGTGTGAAGGAATAGAATACCATTTAGAATATGAAATAGAAAAATTGATATACTAATATAACTTTTTTACAAGATAATTATAAATGCCAGAATTGAAGCTAGTTGGAGAGAAATAAACCTAATCTGAATATTAGAACCAAAAACAAAAAATACTTAACATAATTGGTCAAGTTTTTAGAAAAAAATAAACAGAACAAGAGGTATATATTGCATAACAAGAAAGCTTAGTATAAGAAAGATAACAGCAATTAAATGCATAATAAATAGTTTACTAATACTAGAAGAGCTAAATAGAAGAAGATCAAAAATGTATACAACAACAGACTATCAATTTTGTTATAAAAATGAAAAGAAAATGTAGACATATCTAGCAAACTATAATGAACAAAAAAGCTTATAAAAAAAGATCCAAAAAGTAACAACAGAAACAGCATAAAATAGTCTTAAAAAAAGTAAAAAAAATAGAATTCTGTCTCTAGTACTATATAAAGCATTATTTAGAAAAACAAAAACAAAAAAAATTAGTAATAAAAGAACACTAATAAAAGAATTAACTATGATAGAGGTTGGCAAGAAACTCAAACAGATTCTAAATATATAGACAACACAGAAATGTATATATGTAGTAACAAGAACAATATAGAATATATTTTATGATCAAGTATAAAGAGTTAGATGCAAAAAAATACAGAAATAAGAAAAGAAGAACAATATAACAAGTAAAATAAAAAAAGATGTACAAATGAGAAAGAAATTGAAAAAAAGAATAAAGAATACAAACTGGCAAAAGAAAAAGAGAAAAAGAAAAAAGCAAAAAAGATGGATCAAATAAAGAAAAAAGCTTGAAAAACAATTGATATACTTGTTATAAAAGGGATAAAACCTTTTTGATATAGTTTTAAGTAGTTAGATGAGCAGTTTATCTCTAACTAAGACAGTGTAACAGATTGTACTTAGATATCATTTGGGTGACTGAATGATGCTAGACTTAGATATTGAAAAATTTTATATAATTATAAATATATATAGTTTTAAAAATCTTAATAAAATACTAGTATAACTACTTAAAGTTAAAAAAAAATAAATAAATAAAAACTTTGTTTAAAAATCTTAATTAGAAAACTAATACAACTTTTAATGATATTACTTGTAAAGATCTTAATTTAGAGAAAAAACTTAAAACAAGTAATCTATATAAACAAAAACTTTTAAATAAAAGATTTATCAATCTGATATTAGTTGATTTAAATATTAAGTTACATTATATAAAGTTAACTAAATTAGTAATATAAAAAAACTTGCAAAAATAGACAAGATAATAATAATGTTGTAAAAAAAAATACTAAGA